ATTTGGTAGGACCCTACTCGTGAAATAAGTGTCCTGGGGTTTTACAGACCCAATGTAATTCTGTACAAATGGAGGTGGTTTCCCATGCAGGGTAAACTTGAAGCACATGAACTTCAGTTGAATGGAACAAATGAGAGAGTCTCATTTTTAATGTGGCACTAAATTTCAGTGACTGACAGCTTGGTTCAGTTGACAGTTATGGCTGCATTATATCATCCAGAATGGGAATTTAAAGGTAGCCATACACACGGTAATCCTGTGGCAGGAGGTGATCAGTGATGAGGGACTGTAGGACAGATCTTAGGTAACTATCTATCTTAGGTACATACCCGGCCCTCGTTGCTAGGAGCACAGTGCCTTCCATTCTTTAATGCAGCGGTTCTCACACTATTGACTATTGTGGGCCGCATATGCAGCTCTGAATGTGTTATGTGGGCTGTAGCCACGCAATATATATACTACAGTAACTCCTCGCTGTCCCAGCGAACGTTATTTGCTGATCAATTAGAGAACATGCACGTTTAAAGTTGCGCAATGCTCCCTTATAACGTTGTTTGGCAGCCGCCTGCTTTGTCCACTGCTTGCAGGAAGAGCAGCCGGTTGGAGCTAGCTGGTAGGGGCTTGGAACCAGGGTGAACCAGCAGCCCCCCTATCAGCTCCCCTAAGTTCCCTGTGCGGCTGCCGCCCAGCAGGCTATCAATTGCTGGGCAGTTCAGGTTTCCCTCCCCGCACGGCCGTGTGCTGCTCCTGCCCTCTGCCTTGGAGCTGCTCCCCTGAACCTCCTGCTTGCTGTGCAGGGGGAAGGGGATGCTGTTGTCAGGGTGTCCCCCTGCTCCTGCCCCCCCACTCCTGTACCCCATCTCCACAGAGCGGGGGGGACACGACAGGGCTCAGGACAGAGGGAGCTTGCTGGCAGCAGCTGCTGTCTCAACTTGCTGATCTGCTTAAAAAGGCAGTGTACTTAGAGTGGGGCCAGCGTACTTAAAGGGGCAATGTGCGTCTCTCTCTCTCACACACAAACACACACACACAGTGTGTCTGTCTCACACACACATGCACCCTCCCCTCCCCCCTGGGACTTTGGAAAGTGGAGGGAGTGGTACGCTCCAGTGGGATAGCCTGGGTTCATCATCACGTTAGCGTCCGCAGGGAATGTTTGCAGCCACTGCCATATGTCTGTTGTGTTTCCTCCTTTCATTTGTGCTGCCTTGTAGAGTGTGAGGCTACATTACCAACAATATGTTAACCCAGGGGTTGGCAACCTTTCGGAAGTGGTGTGCCGAGTCTTCATTTATTCACTCTGATTTAAAGTTTCATGTGCCAGTAATACATTTTAACGTTTTTAGAAGGTCTCTTTCTCTGAGTCTATAATATATAACTAAACTATTGTTGTATGTAAAGTAAATGAGGTTTTTTTAAATGTTTAAGAAGCTTCATTTGAAATTAAATTAAAATGCAGAGTCCCCCGGACCAGTGTCCAGAACCCAGGCAGTGTGAGTGCCACTGAAAATCAGCTCGCGTGCCGCCTTCAGCACGCGTGCCATAGGTTGCCTACCCCTATGTTAACCCTTGAGGGCTCAGCCGAGTGCTAGTTCATCATTTAGCAGCAAGGCATCCCCTGGGAAATATCCCTCCATCTTTCACCCTCTGACTCCACCACCTCAACCAAGCTTCACAATCATCAGTGTTGTATACAGTATTCAGTTGTTTGTTTAAATACTGTGTGTGTGTGTGTGTGTGTGTGTGTATATATGTATATGTTTTTTTCCCCCCTGGAACTTAACCCCCGACTATTTACATTAATTCTTATGGGGAAATTGGATTCGCTTAACATCGTTTTGCTTAAAGTAGCATTTTTCAGGAACATAACTACAATGTTAAGCAAGGAGTTACTGTACCTGTATGGCCCTGAGGATGTCACATGGACAGCAGCTGTGTGCTGATTGGGTCACAGATTGAAAACCATTGCTTTCATGTTTTTATCCACACAGCCACTCCATGAGGTAGAACCGTGCTCTTATCCCCATTTTACAGTTGGGGAACTGAGGCACAATGAGACTAAGGGCTAGTCTACACTAGAAGCACTACAGCAGTGCAGCTGCACCACTGTAATGTGTGTGGTGAAAACGCGCTATGCCGATGGGAGAGAGCTCTCCTGTTGGCGTAATAAAACCACCAGGAGGCAGTAGCTATGTTGGCGGGGGGAGAGAGCGCTGTCCACGCCGGCGCTTAGGTCAGTGAAACTTATTGCTTATTCACACTCCTGAGTGACATCAGTGGTAGTGTGTACAAACCCTAAGTACCAGCACCATTGTACACAAAGTACTTCCACCTTCCTCAGGCGCTCAAAGCGTTAGAGCTTTCACTGTTCTGCAAAGTCCTCTAAGCCCAGAAGAACCTGAAGGCAATGTGTGGGGAAGGTTCACTTTCATCTTTTAAAACGGTATAGCTGCATAGAGCTTTGAACAGTATTTTAACGACTGTGCTTAACACCCTGCTTTAGAGGGTGACTTGAACCGGGCTGTGACAGTTTGATCCTATCTATTTCTATGAGTTCCCTCTTAAGCAGTTTTTTAGGCTTGGTTCAGAACCTTGGATCGGATTTGTAAGTTTAGACAATCTTTTCGGGGACCTTTCTGTAAGTAAAAGCTCGATAAAAGGTACTGGATATTAAGCGGCAAGCGCTGCCTTTTTTTGATTTCAGCGTTAGGGAGAATTTGGAAGGACAGAAAGCTAAAAATGGTGGCTGCATTTCAAGCAGGCTTGGATAATTCGGTGAGTGGTGTTTGTGGCTTTCTGCACTTAGATGATGAAAATCCATTCTCACGCTCAAGGAGGGAGATACAGAATTGCCTGAGGGGGCGTGTTTAAGAAAAAATTCTCTTCCTCTGCTTGCATGGGCAGCGTTCCATAACCAAGTGTGCACAGCTTTTCTTTTGCATTCCTCTGAAGCATCAGGTGTTCATGGCCAAAGGCATATATGGGACATGATGGACAATTAACCTGATAGGACAGAGCAGGTCCTATGTAGCAAGAAAACAAATCGGGGGGCCTAGTTTTGGTCACTCTGACTTTAGTTGGATTGGAACCAGTGACCCCAAGATTAAAGGTGTTTCTCATCGCTCTATCCCTGAGCTAATTCTGTGTTCATGCCCTTCCAAGTGTGTGTGTTTGAGCAGCCTGTGTAGTTAATGAAGAGAAGGGGGCCCGGTCCTTTCAGATGAGACATGCGCTCTCTGTCTGGAGCCTGCAGCCCAGTTCCAGTGCTTCTGGGCTGATTAGCAAGGATGCAGCTTGGACAGTTCCTGTTTATACAACTGGATGTTTCAGATACCAAGCCCTGACAGAGACTATTCCGTTGACACCATCTATGGAGATTTGCTGCTAAATTGAATTCTTATCTGGGAGAAAAACAGGCTTTTTTCTCCCTCCCCAGAACTGGAAGAGAGAACAAAACCGCTATGTTTGGGTGGATTTTATTTGACTACAAAACAAATGCCTTTAAAAACTGGTAACCAGGTGTGGTCTGTTGTCTCTTGGGCTATCCTTGGAACAGAATTTAGCAGGGGTTGACTGTCCAGTGGCAGTTTGAGAGAGCAATAACATTTGCAGTTCTCAGAGACCACTTAGTGTCAAGAGTTTCAAGCCTTCCGTTTTTTTACATTGGGCTTATTTCCTAACTTAAATATTTGCTCTAACTCAACTGTTAGTTATGGGATTAGGTACAGAAATGGTTGGATGAAATTCTCTGGCCAGTGTTGTGCAGAAGGTCAACAAGGTGATCACAGTGGTCCCCTCAGGCCTTAAAATCTGTCAAATCTGCTTTCTGTTTTGAGGGTCAACCTTCCCTTGCCTGATTGGAACAATGCACATTATTCATTATAAAGTTTTGCTTCCTTAATCTTGGATCTCCTTAGATTTGTGCTTGAAGTTGAAAGCAAAGAGTTCATCTTCCAGGGACCTATTTAGCAACGAGCATTTGGGGAAGGAGAAGAATTGTAGTTCTCATATGTAAAACCTATTTTGAAAATTACGGAGAGCATACTTGTATTAAAAAAAGCCTCAACTGCATTATTTAAGATACTGTAGTATCAAAAACTGATCATGGATTAAAATCAAATGGGCTTTTTACCATCAATGAATCTTTTACTTTTTGGACTTCACAGGTTGGCGAGTGAAACTAAACTGGTCAGTAGAGCTGAGCGACTAATTTGATTTTTCTATCCGGGGGCCAAACTGAAAAGCGTGTGTGTGTTTGGGGGGGAATTGGTTTGGTTCAACCCATAACTGATTTTTTTGTGTTTTTTGCCCAAAAATGAAAAAAATTAAAACCCAAAGCAAAATGTTTTTGGTATTTTTGCTTTTTGGGTCATTTGGGAGGATTGAGGTTCCCCCTTTTCTTTTGTTTTTTAGAAAAAAATTAGAAAAATGTCTAAGTGAAATACAACTTTTGATTTTGGAAAGATACTTACTTAAAAAAAAAAAGAATTTCCAGCGGAATCTGTTAGCTGAATTTGCAAATAGTTTTGGGTGCCCTGAAAAATGGACTTTTGGGCAAATTTACTCTTTGCTGAGAAAATTTCATCCATCTCTACTGATCCAATCTATTCAGTTCTCTTGGATTGGCATATGCCACAGGTAGTGTTTGGCTTCCCAGCACTGCAAGTGAAGTGTTAAATCGCAAATCCTATTTCTGCTGCCATAAAATTGAAATCAGTGCCATTCATCAAGTGGGTTCTTATTTATTTTATTTTTTGCAAAACCTACATTTGGGAGCTAAATAGATATTGGCTCAAATTCATGAGTGGTGGAAGTCACTGAAGGGGCATTGGATGTCAAACTATGTGATATGAGGCAGCTTCAGCTAATAGTGTTGTAAAGGGAGTAAATAAGAAGCACCACATTGTTTTCACACTTTTTGGGGCTGATCCTGGCTTGGTTTTGAGACTCCTTCGGCACATCTGCCTTGTTTATGGCCTTATTGTTTTTTCCCTTCCCAGGAATGGTGTGAATGTAGAAGGGGCAACGCACAAGCAGGTGGTGGACCTGATTCGAGCAGGAGAGAAGGAGTTAATACTGACAGTGTTATCCGTTCCGCCCCATGAGGCTGATAACCTCGACCCCGGCGACGACTCTTTGGGGCAGTCGTTCTATGACTACACCGAAAAGCAAGCTGTGCCCATCTCCATCCCCACATACAAACACGTGGAGCAGAACGGCGAGAAGTTTGTGGTTAGTATTGGCTTGAGCATGCCTTGCGGAGTCCAGGATTGGTTTGTTTTCCTGCTGATCAGGTCCTAAGCTGTCAGTTTTCCGAGAGGCCTGGTTTTTAATCTCATCCCTGGATTCTGGTTGCCAGATCCTCTCCCTCAACCCCAAAGAGGCTGTAATACTGACCCTATCTTGGAACTGCAACTCCCATTATTTCCTTTAATTTTAGTGCATGTAAATGGTGATTAACAGTCCCATGTAGGAAGGCCTCTGATTCATAGGGCAGCAGTAGTGTAAGCTTTCCTCTGTACATGGGTCCCTCCCAGCCTCCCAAAATCATCATAACAGAGGAACCTCCTCTTGGGCTGAGATGACCTTGGCCTCCATGGTTCATTCAGTCCCTTGGCTTCTCTGCGGAGTCTGCCAGCAAGGAAGCCAATTAGTGCCCATTATGATGATGGTTTTTTGATGCCAACACGTTCCTGTTGGGATACTTACTCTTTTTCTGAACTGGGTTATCTGTCAGTTTCCAACCAGTTCATACAAGTGGGGTAGCTCTGAGCAGTGGGTCCCAGAGGGTGACCTTGACAAATGGCCTTTGGTTGACACTTTCTATTCAGTACCATCAGTTAGCTCATATATGCTTCTATATCCTGTTTTATATTAAGTGCCTAGAATACCTGTGATAGATACCTAAGGAGTATGATCCTTTAAGAAAAACTCTCCTCTCATGCTTGTGTCCCTGCAGCTTCCCACGCAGCAGAATGAAATTGGAGTGATTGTGTCGGTTTCACTCTGCTGCCTTTCCTGAGAATGTGCTGTGTGTAATGAGTGATCCTTCACTAATCTTCAGGGAGGTGGCCAAAGATTTCACATACAGGTGTTAGGGCGGCCTGATTTTCGCAGCTGCTGAGCGTCTGCCACTCCCACTTAATTCAGTGGGAGCTGTTTGCATGTTGAGCACTCCTGATAAGCAGGCTAAGTGTGGAACCTCTGTGCTGTAACAAACGTTAGGATTGTGTGTGTCTGTATTTCTTTCCCTTTCTGTTCTCGTTGGTTAGGGATCAGCTGTAGAAAGCACCACCTTCCTCCCCGGTGGAAGACCCTGCCCGGCTGCCTTCACTGTGGGAGCTGGCGCTCATTCTTTCAAATAACATCGTCTGTCTTGAAACTGCTGCCTAAGCGGATGCATCCGCTAAGGCTTGTTATAGACTCTGGCTTATCACGGATGCCTGGCTGCAGCTTGGAATGAAATGCACGAGCTATTTTGCATGTTTCCAATCTGGCTCCCTTCTCCCAGAGATGTAGAGAGGGGAAAACTTAATTTGAGTTGTGGATGATTAAAGTATGCACTTCCCCTCCATTGTTAAGTTTTGAAAGAAAATCTAATTGCTGCAGATCACAGAATAAACTTTTATTTTTCTCTTGGTGGCAGTTAGTTTACTAACTGATGATTGTTGTTGGTTTGAATCAATTGAGAAAAATCTGTTAGTCACGTTTCTGCCCAAAGACTGGTGCTGGCTGTTGCTGGCAGCCGGGCTGCATGTATTTCCATCTAGCTTGTGTTGCTGGCATTTGCTGTGCTTCGAACTGAGAACATACCACTGGCTCCGAAAGGAGATTTGAGGCTTATTCACAACAAATCCACAGAGCAGCAAGAGCTTCGGAAGGGGGAGGAATCGGTTAAAGATTGCTTGTAGTCAGAACAGTGACGGTGTAAAAATGGCACCAGCTCCTTGTGGGTCTGAGTCGCGTCTATAGACGTGACTAACACACATTTTCACTTCTGTTAGCACTTCAGAGCCCACGGAGCTTTGCCAATGCACATCTGTCCTCATCTGCCGCATCTTCTGCTGTTCCCACTCCGGGGCCCATGCATCCTTGCCTCTGCACCCCTGCAATTCTAGTAACACACCCTACAACTGTCACCTCAATCTTGGTCTGCGGCAGCCCTGTTTTTGCAGCTCTGCGATCCCTACAAGCTCTGCTGATGGACTTCAATCTTGGTCCTCAGTCCCACCTGCCATTCCAGTCCCAGGCTGCTTTTGAGTACTCTTCCAATTGCTCCTGAATTGTGAGAGTAACTCTGATGCTTTCATGATGTGAGATCAAACTCGTTCTCACTTTTGAGCCACGCTGTCAGATCACGCGTGAGAGCTTGGACACGCCGCGTTGCAGAGACCCGTGGTCGTAGTAATTTTCCCATGAGCAAATGGAGGCGTGAATGTTCCTGGGCACCGCTCCTGTAGCGTTCACCTGGGGCATGGCTGAGAGGGCTCATCTATTACAAGCAGAATAATGGCTGAGAAGCAACACAGGGAAAGACCTAAAACTGTGCACTGGATTAGGGCAAATTTACACTGAGAATTTAATGTCTTACAGGTCCCAAAGTGGAATTTTGGGCATGTTCCAGTGATATTAATTGGCCAGGCCTCATCTAGGCCATTTTACTTGGCTCCTTTGATTGTGTTTTATGTTCCCTGAATGGTTCTGTAGTAAACCTGTTGAGCTGTGTCTTGTACTCCATCCGTTGGGGCCAGAGCCCTCCAGCACCATTAGCCTTAGTGGTGATTTGCATAGCTAAACGGTGCTTTGAGAACATACCTGTTAGGTTTGAACAACAAGAAAAATCAGCGAAGAATCTTAAAGCAAAAAAGAAGAAATTCCATCTGGCCTTTGGTTTTCAATAAGTGACTGTCAGAGACAGAAGCCAGCCACAAGTGTGATATTCTTCCCCTCTCAAATAGGCACTTATTGTCAAGAGGACAGTTACCAGTCACCAGCTCCTGGGATTAGCCCATAGATTAGTTGTTAAAGTGAAAATTCTCCCAGCATTGGTTCCCAGTACTTAAACACTCAGACATCTAGGTCCTTTAATAGCTGGTTAATAGTACATTGCCTGGGGTGGGGGAGAAATGGTGTAAAAACTGCTTTGGCCAATTCACTCCCCAGACTGGTTTTCTTTCTCTGTTTTGCCCATATCTTATCCCCTTACCCAGACCCTTCCCTTCACCTCCTAGTGGCTAGAGAGCTGCTGTTTCAGTCACAGGGAACTGGATATACAGTTGCCGAGGGTCTTGAGATAAGATGTCAGGGTCAGATGTGGTACTGCTTTTTGGGTGGGATGGAGGGGCATGCAAGGCAATCATGCACTGGTGAAGGAATTTTTAAAGTGAACTCAGCTGGGGTTTGAATTGCTCTGCCCAGATTGAAAGTTTGGCTGAACCAGAGCAGTCCCGTCTGTGTGCATTGCAGTTACAGTTCGGAGTGTTAGGAGCTGACAGATGACAAATTGTTTCCCGGTTTCTTCCTTTTTCCCTTACAGCATAGAAAATGGAGGCATTTTCCCATGGAGAACATGACACAGAAGCGTGTGTGTTTGTGGGGAGGCGAGGACTAGAACTTGGTTCATCACCAAGAAGCAGAATCTAGTGTGAGGCTTGTACCGTGTGCGTTTAAATGGAGCAAATTTGATCCTCATGGAAACAAAGGATTCAGGGCAGTGGCCAGACATAGTGTGAACAGGGAGTGTGCAAGTTTCCCATATCAGTTCAATCCTGTAGCACCCCTGTGCTATTCCGGTTCTGGGCTCCGCACCCACGCCAGGCAGATTGCTAAATTCAGTACCCAGTTATAGGACAAGAGGGAAAGGGAGATAGAAACATGAGTCTTAGTGTAAAGAGAAGAAATCTTGCAGGGAAGCTGCAGCAGCTGTATCCGTGCAGTAGGAAGCCTGCAATGTGGCTGGAATGAAATGCAAACTTAAAATGACTAGACAAATGCAATGTATGTTCTCAGCTGGACAGAGGACAGCCAATACTGGCCTCGCCTCCTTGTTTCCTCCCTCCTCTGGGTTCTCCAGCGTCACGTCATGCAATGCCAGAAGAATGAATATAGGCTTTTGAGCAACGCAAGAGTTATGCTTTGAAAAAATATCTTTTTTTTGGAAGGTCACAGGTCAGCTATTCCTATGGCTAATTCTGAAAACAAATTGATTCAGATTCCCAGACCACGCCCTGTACAGATCTTGGAAGCGAAGTGGGACTCGGAATTCTTTGGTTTTCCAAGAGCTGTGGACGGTTCTCTTTTGTGTCTAGGGTGGTGCCTTTTGAAATACTCCGCTTCTCTGACCTGCCGGGGCTTTCAGTGTTGCAGATGCAAAGGAGAGTTGATGTGTGACTTTGCCAAGATAGTTGCTGTTGCGCAAATTTCTCTTGCACCCACAAAAAGGTGTAAGCCCGTTTATATCTTTAGCACATTCCTTTCCTCCTATGAAGCTAATTAAGGCAGTATCCCATCGGTTCGTGCCGCTTTATCACTGTGGGCATATTAGCAATGCCAAGACATCTGCAAAATCGATAAGAACCTGGTGTGTGGCTTCAGTTCTTTATGCCAGAGGTTCTCAACCTTTTTCTTTCTGAGCCCGCCCCTCCCCGCCCCCCCCTGCTATAAAAAGTCCATGGCCCACCTGTCCCACAACAACTGTTTTTCTGCATATAAAAGCCAGGGCCGAGGTTAGGAAGTAGGGCAATTCCCTGGGGCCCCACGCCACAGCTAAGTTGCTCAGGCTTCGGCTTCAGCCCCACGTGGCAGGGCTCGGGGCCCTGGGCTTCAGCCCCGCACTGCAGGGCTTCGGCTTTCTTCCCTGGGCCCCAGCAAGACTAACACTGGCTCTGCTTGGCGCCCCCCCTCCCCCAAACCTGCTTGCGGCCCCCCAGCGGGGCCTGGACCCCTGGTTGAGCACCACTGCGTTATGCTGTCTGGGTGGTAACGCTGATTCTGAATCCCTCGCTTATCTCTGGACCCCTTAACAGTATTCGTTGTAAAAGACCTTGCCACATGTCGTGTGTAGGACTAATTGACCTTAAAGTTGGAGGCTGGCTGAATGGTGAAGGCATGATCTGTAGATGCGTTAGATCTTTGAAAGATGCCCTGATGTGTTGGCTAAACCTCCCTTTGCTCTAGATCGTTTTCCTTTCCTTTCTGATGTCAAATTCCCATCAGGGTACAGAGGCCACATCCCATTTCCTGAATGACCTTGGGATGAAATCAGAGCTGTGTGCGCAGCACAGAAGCTAATTGGACGACAAGGTGTTTCCAAAAGATTTGAACCCCTCTCCCCTGCCCCGTTGTCTCTGGCACAGTTGGGAGTGCTGGACAGCAGAAGAGGCTCTACTCAGTCATGGAGTCTAAGCCTGATCCTTGATCGGAGGCTATCTTTGGGCTCTGGAGGAATGTCTTTGTTTTAAGTAAGGCCTTGTGTATTCTGAACATTGCAACAAAGGCCCTGGATTTCTGGGGCCCTCTGATGCTGAATTCTGCAGCAGACTGGAAATTCAGCTGTAGCTTTAAGTGTGGGTGTGGGTGTGTGTATGTGTACACACATACACATGGTGGGGTGTGTGTGTGGAGTTACTGGCTATGGAAACAATTGATCTAATCAGTGCAGTATTTCTTGTTTGACGTTCAGTTTGTGATCCCTTCACATTTTCTTCATTGTAGAAGTTGTCAGGGTGGAAGCTGGACACTGGCATCTGGCTAGTGCACAGTTGGGGCGTTTGGAAAGAGGGTTAGGGTGCAGTTTTTTTTGTAGGTGAAAGGCAGCTTGAACTCCAGCAACCCTTTTTCTTATGCCAGCTGTTTCACTGCCCCCACCCCAGTCTATTGCTGTGTCAAATAGTGATGCCTGGAATCGTTAGTTGGTGTGTTTCGCCGACCAAACGATCAGCTGTGACGTAGCGAATGATTTAAATTGCTAGCAATTTTCTAACCTATCATGAAGCTTCAAAGTCAACACCCCATTGAGATGACTGAGGCAGTTCACAACTCTCGGCTAATTTCAGGCTGTCTGCAGACTCAGGAAGGCAGCACTGCATCTGTTGACATTTGGGAAGCTTTTTATTGCACGAGACAACTTTCCTGTCCTTCTCTTCCCTCTGCATCCTGCTAGGTTTACAATGTTTACATGGCAGGGAGGCAGCTGTGTTCGAAGCGGTACCGGGAGTTTGCCATCCTCCACCAGAACCTGAAGCGGGAGTTTGCCAATTTCACCTTTCCGCGCTTGCCGGGGAAATGGCCTTTCTCTTTATCGGAGCAGCAGTTGGATGCCAGGCGCCGAGGGCTTGAGGAGTATCTAGAGAAAGGTAAAGGGCCAGAAGCACAGGCCCAGGGCTCCATTGAAGCTGTCGGCTTCCAAGCAGGGGAAAGGTCTTACGGTGATGGCGGTAGAGCCGACCAGCAAGGGAAAGAGGCTCATTTAAAACCAGGCTCGAGTTTCCAAGCGAAACACTGCAAGAAAAACCAAACTTCACTTGACATAATGGCGTGTGTGTTATTGACTTACTGAGCACTTCCAACAACAAAACATAGTTAGTTTTTAATGCATGGTGGGCCGTTATTTACAGTGTTGTGGCACTTGCCAGTAAACACACGCGTTCTGGATGGAGTGGGGATGAGAGGGAGATAAGGACAACTTGATATTGTGCAGAGACTCGTTCTTAAGATCTTTTTCTTAGGGAATCCCAGCCAGACTGCCGTAACTTGGCCTTGCCACTGCTGTATGTTTTAAAGGGTGGTATGCGTCTCTGTTCAAGCTTTTGTGGCTTAGAGCCTGGAGTCTTTTATGGCTTCAGTTGCTTATGCTGGGTAGCGACGCCGCATCCAAATCCCCTCCTTTATCTGTGGACCTCGTAAGTGTTCTTAGTAAGAGACCGTGCCCCACACGTGCCGAACAAGGCGTTGTAAATGGGGATCAGAAAGGAATATTCACCCCGTGGTATAGCCCTGTGCTTGGCTTGCCTTGACGCAGCAGGGATTGGCTATTGCTGGGTGAGATGGACCGTGCGCGCAAGTGCTTGTGGCAGGTGCCAGTTTGACAGCCTGAGGATTCTCTGCGTAGAGAGGGTACAGCATGGATATTAGCACAGCAAGCTTCTCCCGCACGTTGTTCATATATCTCAGCCCTGCCTTCCATGGCCCATTGAGTCCTCGGCCTCCCTGTTAAGTCTTTCAAGAATGGAATAAATCAGCAGTGTCTGTTAGCGTTGTGGACCCTGTCCTCAGTGGCTTAGTTACCACTTCGTTTCACACCGGCCACCTACCACTGACTGAAAGTTATCTTCCCTTCCCCCAGCCTCCGTTCAAACCAGCCCCCTGGGGTGGAAGGCTCTTGTGCCCACTTCCAGGTGTGATCCACTAACGCAGCATTCTCTTTGTCCTGCAGTATGTTCCATACGAGTCATTGGGGAGAGCGACATCATGCAGGAGTTCTTATCGGAATCGGATGAGGTAAGCGGGCATGCTGGAGACTACGCCAGAGTGCTAATCCAATGCTGTGTTTTCCCTTTCATAACTGTTACCTTCAGACTGTTGATTGTAACAAACTAAACCCCTAAGTAAAGTATGGCCAAAGAGAGCAGGTCGCCTGGTTGCTTAGGCTAGGTCTACACTACCCGCCTGAATCGGCGGGTAGAAATCGACCTCTCGGGGATCGAATTATCCTGTCGCGTCAGGACGCGACAATCGATCCCCGAATCGACGCTCTTACTCCACCAGCAGAGGTGGGAGTAAGCGCCGTCGACGGGGAGCCGCGGAGGTCGATTTTGCCGCCGTCCTCACAGCGGGGTAAGTCGGCTCCGATACGCAAATTCAGCTACGCGAATAGCGTAGCTGAATTTGACCTATCTTAAATCGACCCCTCCCTGTAGTGAAGACCTGCCCTTAGCTATCTGTTGTTGACCAGTTACACAAAGAAAATCATGGCAAAAAAGTAGTAGTCTGATGTATCTGTAACCCCAGAAAGCTGCCTGATTGGCCACTAGGTACCATCGTAATGGGGGCAAAAGACTTGTCAGAGGTCGCCATGTGCCTCTGTTATAGCCGTCTGCTACTGATACAGTTAATCCAGGGGATTGCTGCAGTGAAGAACCGCTCTGATGCCGTTCTTGTCAGTTCCTGGAGTTCAGATTTCTACAAACAAGCAACCAAACTCTCTCAATAGTGGGTCCTTGCCTTTCGTACCATGTCCCCTTGGCAGGCCCAATAAAAGATCCATTGATGGGGTTTGTTGCTGGCTGCTTGTGTTAGTTGCATCTTGCAGCACTGCTGGCTTCTGTGTAGCCTCTGGTAGCTTGAGGAGCTTTGCATTTGCATGTTACTCATATTTTATGCTGCAGCCTTTGGCAGCCAAGGCAATAGATGTTATAAACATTAATGTTTTATCTCAGAATAATTTAGTTATGATTGCAAAGCAGGAATTGTGAGTTGTTGTTTTCCCACTAGCTGTGGCTTTCCCCCCCAAACTTCTTGTGGTATGTAGAGTTGCTGTATCCAAGAGCGTTTTTTCCTTCATTGGCAAACTTAGAATGCACTGATTCAGGCAAGTGGAAAATCCTATCCAATCGTGACCTGAAATGGTTCACTCAAGTTCCTGTCTTGTGACGCTGCTGCGTTCACCTCTTCCTTTTTTTCAAAAGTTGCCTCTGTTGCAATCAGAAATCAGTTTCTGAGGCTTGAAGATTCATTTTGAAGTGCAGTTACTTTCTGAAAAGTGACTATGTAAAAATGACCTCTTCCTGTTGAGCAAATCTGTATTTATTCATAGTGACGCTGGACACCTTTGACTCGAGTGAATGGGAGCTGGAGTGTGTTCTGGCTCACACAGCCTCAACCAGAATGATTAACCAAGTTCTTTTTGTAGGACCAAATTTTCTTGTCAGTTACATCTATGAACACAGGCCAGAAATGGTCTACAGAACTCTTAGAGAGGGATGATGATGATCCCAGGGTTAGAGCACTAGGCTGGGATTTAATAGACCCTGGTTCAATTCCCTGCTCCACAACAGACTTCCTGTGTAAGATCTTGGGCAAATCACTTAATGTCTCGGTGCCTCAGTTTCCCTCTATAAGGGAGATAATAGCTCTGCCCCGCCTCACACAGATGTTGTGAGGATAACCATTACTATTTGTGTAGGGCTCAGATACCATCATAATGGGAGCCAGATAAACTAGATACCAATAGCGATGGGTGAACCAGAAAGAGCCTGTTTTAATTCTCAGACCCCAGCGTGACTTTGCAGGGCTGGCCGTTAGAAAAATAAATCTTCTTGTAAACTTAGCCAACTTAATTTGAACTCATGGAGTGAGTTCTGGATCATGCCACTTCTGGATTACTTCTCTGGAGTAAAATAACTCCTCTTTAGGACTGTTGTATCTCCTGCAGTACCTAGATTACTAATCTAGTGATTCCTGGTTGGATGCTCTGTGACATGATGGGAAGAAAGGACTCTGATGGATTACTTGTTCTTTTCTCTTTTCCAGAATTACAATGGGGTGTCAGATGTGGAACTAAGAGTAGCACTACCGGACACAACAACAGTGACAGTCAGGGTCAAAAAGAACAGCACTACAGACCAGGTGTATCAGGTAAGGTGCATATTTGCATGAAACTTTCTAATGATCTGAAATAGATGAATGTGGCTCAAACTTGAAGCAAGACCTTGCATGCACAGAGAGACCTTTCCCATTGCTGTTCTCCATGGTGGGTGGGTTCCAGTGGAACTATTCCTGCAAGAACATAACAGGGGAGAGAGCGCTGGAGAAATCCAACCTTACATCTTGGTGAAATGCTGTTTCCTTTGGCAGTTTCTCCTGCAAGGGCAGAGTCGTCGCTCGGTTAATTTTTACTGATAATATTTTAAAAGCTGCAGCAGGATTTCTCTAATCACTAGACAAATTCTATTTTGTGGCTGCAGAGAGTTAGCTGTCGGCACGCAATGAGAGCTTGCAAACCCAACATATGATTCTTGTGCGGCTGTCTAGTAGGGCAGTGACTTGAGTCTTAATAGGAGCAGTCTGCGTTGGGGAAATCGTGAGCGTGGGGTTAGTATTTAGCAGCCTTGTGTAGTTGGACTAGTAGGTTTAAGGCCTGACCCCGGGGAGGTCCTGACCCCTCTCAACTCCCATCGAAGTCACTGCAACATCCCACACCATAGTGATCTTAACTGGTTTACAGCTTCGTGAGTATGCCTAGAGTGTGGTGCTGCCGCCAAGGGATCCATTTAAAGTAGGTTAACAAAATGCAGCCAATACTGCTGTAACTGAGGATGGTAGCTCATAGAGAATTAATGGGGGAAACCTGAACAAATTAAAGTGTTGCTTTAAGTAACAGAGCCAAAGGACATGCATGCCAGCAAAATCTCACGGGTTCTAGATTTATGCAGGGAAAAACTGTGCTTGTCTAATCAGACTCTGTGTATATTAATGCATTTAGGACACAGTCTGTTGAATTGCATGCTTGTATCGAGGTCCTACTTAAGCAAGGCTCTATTATCAGCATGCAGGACTGAAGTATTGCCGGAAAAACTCCTAAGGGAAGGGGGGGAGGGCGTCTGTGCCTGGTGTACTAGGAACTGAAACTTGAGGCACCAGAAGAAAAGATGACCTAATTGTCAGCTGTGGCAGTGCTTGAAATCTGGAGCAGTTTACAGAAGGAAAGAGCGAGAGACTCTGAGCCCTAGTTAAATAAAATGTGTGACTGAACCGGAATAGTGTTAAAGCTTTCCTTGGTGACTAATACCCGGGATCGGTGACTTGGAAATAACATATGTGAAGCTAGGCTGGCCCTGTCCCCGAAGAAGGTCGGATGAGCGCTGAGCACTATTTTGCTGACACCGTTTTTCCTTTTGGTTGCACTTTAGGCTGTGGCTGCTAAAGTAGGAATGGACAGCACTACAGCAAACTACTTTGCCTTGTTTGAAGTGATCAATCACTCCTTTGGTAAGTCTCGTAATCCTCCCAACCCAACCCCGCAAAAGTTCTGCAGCACCAGAGCCTGCTGGCGTTCTCATTTCGCTCTTATCTGCTCTCAAAATCCAGAGCCCCCAGGGGAAATCTGCCAGGCCTTGGAGACTCTGGTAATGAGGAGCCCTCGACGTTTGATAGTTTTTGCTTCTGCTAATGCTTGACTTTCCCTTTTTTTAAACAGTTCAAGGAGACTAAACTGTGAGAAACAAAAACATGTTTTAGTTTTAAGGATTCCAGTGTGCTTAAGATGCTCTTTATAGTGCCTGGGAGGATGAAGGGCTGAAAACTCTGATGGCATTTGAGCCTGGTTGTGGGAGTCTCGGGGGGTTTAGATGATGACACCTCCCTGCCAGCTAGAGATAACTAAAGCATACTGATTTGATCTGTGTTTTTTTTCCAATCAGCAGCAGCAGCGTTTGTTTTTCACCCAGTTTCAAACTGGATTTGCTGAAGCAGAAGGAAGTCCAGTAACTTAGATGTGACTGTATTAGATTTTATGTGCTAGGCTTTGAGCCAAGGGGTCCTGATTCCTAGCCCTGTTCCCACAATCTGTATGTTAACAACTTTCTTATATAGCTGAAGGCGTGCCCTAAATCCTTGTGTTATGTTGCTAATTGTGCAATATAGGCTGAGATGGTACAAACTGTTCCCGCTGGCTTTTGCTTTGGAAGACCTGTCTGGCTTGGATTGCAGAGGCATTTTTAGATTTTTTTTTTAAAGAAAGCACTTCTAAAATATCTCTGACACAGCTGACTAGATTGGCATGCAGATCTTGATCCTGGATCATCAAAGTGGAGTGGGTCATTCCTGTGAAGCGGCCTCAATCACAAAATTACCACTTGATGCCACCGAGTTGACAGTTGCTTTATCAGAGATACCTGGCGCTGAGATGACAGGGCAGGATCCCAGGGCATTGGCAGATCTGTGTGTGGGGAGCCCGGGACTGGACTAGAAGAGCGTGCTGCAGGACGGGATTGAAATGTATTGGCAGAGCTGTGTAGGGAGCCCAGATAGGAATGTCAGGCCTACTGGAGTTCAGAATTGGGGTGTATTGACAGAGCTTCACACAGGAAGTTTTCACACTGTGTGATTCTAACCCGTGCTATATAAGAGCTGGGTATTAATAATAGTTATTCCTTATTTTTACGAGCGCCATGCTTCTCAAACGATTGAAAAGTATATGCTCTGGTTAACCTTCATGACGGGTGTATTGGTAAAACTCATTCTGAATATTCACAGTTCTGTATATACTGTACACACTCCATTTAAAAAGCAACAGAGGGTCCTGTGGCACCTTTAAGACTAACAGAAGTATTGGGAGCATAAGCTTTCGTGGGTAAGAACCTCGCTTCTTCAGATGCAAGGGCATTGGCAGATCTGTATGTGGGGATCTTGCATCTGAAGAAGTGAGGTTCTTACCCACAAAAGCTTATGCTCCCAATACTTCTGTTAGTCTTAAAGGTGCCACAGGACCCTCTGTTGCTTTTTACAGGTTCAGACTAACACGGCTACCCCTCTGATACTTGACACTCCATTTAGTTTCCCTCCAAACAACTGAGCTCCATCTGTGATCGTGCAAGGACAGTGTTCCTACCTGAACGTGGGGCTGAAAAGTCACTCAGGTGGGTCATACTGGCCCACACTGTGTTTTTCTCCCTCGTTTTAGCAAAGTGTTTTTTCAATACAGTAAACTCACAACAAAGGCACGCTGCCTATGGTACCAACCATCCCGAGCTGATATTGAATAGCCTGAAGGCAGCTCCTTCGTCACTGACCGCTGTACGAGTCTTTGTTCTGGTTCTGATGGCAGACTGCCCAGATAGTGTGTGAGATCCTCCTGTCGCTTGGGAGAATCTTAAAGCCGCTTCAGTGTGTATGAGAAAATGTATTGTACTGTTCTGAAGTGCTCGACAATAGATCATAAGAATCGTAGCCCCACTAGATTCAGTGTTGTTCACTCCCGTAGGCCAAAGCAAGACTTCCCTGCATTGTTTTCTCCAGTGGCTTGAATGCCCCAATGCCCAGGCCAGAGACCCAAAATCTAAGGCTTGTGCAGGATACATCCCTGTACTCGTCACCAAGAGTGAAAACAAACTGTGATGGTCTGACAAATATAGTCTTTCTTCGCCAAGCGTGGCTGCTTTCAGCTGAAGTCCTGCGTTACACAGCTGCTTTCCACACAGACTTGAGGTACAACCCCTGGGGAGCAGCGTTCCTCAGACAGCAGGTCAAGCGAGTGGATTCTGGTTTCATACAAATTCCTGATAGGCTGGGGTGCCTGTGTGTTGACCTGAGCCTGCAAATAACTAGCCTAGTAAAGATCCAACATTGTGAAGGCAAAATTCAGATGGGGGAAGGATCTTGGTCTTGATCCCATCTGCTCCATGGGACCTGCTCACTCACTTGGCTTTGCATTGTGTTAGCTGAAGCAGTGTAACTTCCCTGGTGTACAGTTCTTCATTTGTGTTGCGGTAACGCCTAGGAACCCCAGTCATAGGCCAGCAACCCATCGTGCTAGGCGCTGTACAGATACGGATCAAAAGGTTGGTTCTTGCCCCCAAAGAGCTCATCCTGCTCTTCCCATGCATCTTGCAGTGCGTAAACTGGCGCCCAATGAATTCCCACACAAGCTCTACGTACAGAACTACACGTCGGCGGTGCCGGGGACTTGTCTGACTATCAGGAAATGGCTCTTCACTACAGAAGAGGAAGCCCTCCTGAATGACAATGACCTCGCAGTTACCTACTTCTTCCACCAGGTAGGTGCCTGTGAATTCCTTGCCTCGGAATGCTGAACTCCCTTTATCACAAGCCATTTAAAGCGGCTCCCGCTCGTGATGCTGTAGCTAGTCCGAATTCCAAGACATTGAATGCCTCAGCGCCATGACGAGCTTGGGGCGGGGCAGGCCCCGTCCTATGTACATCGCTGTTGTGTAAGAAATGGAAATTGAGGGTTGAGTGATTTGCCCACTGTCACCCAGTGACTCCGTGGCAGGGTCAGAAACAGAATACAGGATCCTGCTGTTACTTATCACTGGCTCAGGTCCTCAAAAAGCAAACAGAACTCAGGAGTCCAGACTCCCTGTCTCCTGCTCTAGCCACTAGATATGCTAGGACTCCTGGGTTCTTGTCTGTGCTCTCACTGACCCATTGTCTTCTTTGGTAAGTCACTTCACCTGTTTTCCTTCATTTACTCCTCTGTGAAACCAGTATTCCCACCCATTGCTGTGCACTGAATTTATATTGGTAAAGCACACAACAATCCTGTAGAAGTGCCAGGTGAAAGTCCTGCATTTCAGACCAGTGAAGAAATCCCTTAACCGTCGGTTGAAGACTTAACTTTGCTCGGTTTCCTTCCCCCTTTTTTCATGTAGGCTGTAGATGATGTGAAGAAAGGTTGCATCAAAGCTGAGGAAAAGTCCTACCAGTTACAGAAGCTGTCTGAGCAGAAAAAGATGGTCATGGTATGTTTGGTCTTCTCTCATTACTTGGAAATGGCTGTTTTTCCTCTGGCAAATGAAATCAGGTGCATTGGTCCTGAATTGTGCCTTTCCGGTCTGCAGTGTAGCTATAAAAGCTTTCCAAGGAAAGTTGTGTTTGGAAGAGCACTGTGGGTGTATTTTGACTTGCGTTGGTTGAATACACAAGGAAATGCCAGGTTGCTGTGCCAGTCCCCCCATGCAAGGTTATCATGGTGCTAACTGGTAAGAGAGACTCCCAAAACACTCGGTGAGTTAGTTTGTATGGAGCTAATGTCCATATGCCAGATCATGCGTTGCGTTGAGTCAAACTCCCTTACTGGTGTGGTGTGTACCACTGGGGCAGGATTCAATTCTTCTTTAAAAAACATTGAGCAGGTAAATCTACAGCCCTTAAAGACTTTTTATAAATCACACGGTTGGGGTCCTTTTATGGTAGCTCTTCTGCTTGTTTAGTATTTGATGAGCAAAGGGCTGTTTCCATCCTGATCTGTTCTAAGAACAGGAATTGTCTGACCAGTAGTGCATCTCATCCCGTATCTCCTCTCTCTCTGGCCAGTACCAGACGTTTCAGGGGAAGGTTATAAAACCCATCGCCAAGCAGTCTGCATAGCTAGTGCTTGTGGCGCTCGTGTAACTTTATTTACACACCTCCGGCTTCTGCGTCTGTGCCAACACGGCTGTGCACGAGCAAGCTGGGGTGTTCTCCTGCCTTGCACGTCACCACATCGTGAGCTGAGCTCCACTCCTAGCCTCCCTGTTGCTGCTGGGGCTGTCAGAGGCAGAAGATGTAGCTTCAAGGTCAGAAGACTCATTGGGCTTGTACATGGAATAACTTACTGAATTGCTCTGGGATCACTGAGACTGAATAAACATGGGACCTCCCACTGTCCTTTCTGACTCTGAGCTCCATCCTGTCAGGTTTTATTTCCCTGACCGCCTTTGGTGGATGCTCACAGCCTCTAGCAGTGTTCCCGCCTGTAGGTTGCTGGTCTCTGGTGCCAATGACCTCCCAGTTTGAAATCCTCTCCCCAGTTAGTCTTTGCCAGCTCTTACCGTACCTCAGACTCATGGGTGGCGGGTATAATAGGCCAGGGAGGCGCTGCCGGACCTCCAGTTGCAGGGTTTGGTGGTGAAGTTTTTGCTTTATTATGCCCCATGCAGGTTCCGGGGCGCCTGAAGAGGCACATACCTCCTCCTCAGCTGCCCCGGAACCTGCATGGAGCATATCAAACGCATCTTCTACAGATGGTGGGCGGGTTGGGTCCGGGCAGGGGGAGGCTCGGCTTGGGGCTTCGGCTGCCCCAGCCGGGGCTCCTACGCTCGGGGAGAGGGGGCCTTCCAGGCTGCGGCTGGCTCGGGGCTCCTCTGGACAGGTGGAGGGGGGAGGGGGAGCCTCGGGGCTTCGGCCAGTCCTGCGGGGCTCCTACGCTTGGGCCTTCGGCCAGCCCAGCAGGGGCTCCTCTGGGTGGCTGTGGGGGAGCGCTCTGGGCTGCGGCTGGCCCGGGGCTCCTCCGGGCGGGGGGAGGGGGAGCCTCGGGGCTTCGGCTAGCCCAGCAGGGGCTCCTCTGGGTGGCTGTGGGGGAGCGCTCTGGGCTGCGGCTGGCCCGGGGCTCCTCCGGGCGGTTGGAGAGGGATGGGGAGGCTCAGGGCTTCGGCCAGCCTGGAGCTCCTCTGGGCGGGGCGAGGCTCGGGGCTCCTGCAGCCAGGAGGGGGCAGAGGGTCTCGGGGCTCAGGCCGTGGGGAGTGCATGGGCGGAAGGGGCAGACTGGGGGCTAGCCTCCCCAGAGAGGGATTCCACCCGCCACCCATGCTCGTACTAGTGGGAGCCCTGTTGACCCTTTTTGACGGTAACAGCTGTCACAGATCATTGCGGGAGGATCTTGAAAGTCTCTGTGTGGAGCTCCAGGTCACCTGAGAGGCTGTGGTGCCTTAAGCCAAGAGTTGCATTCTAATCACTCCCTAATCCGTGTATTTGCTTACCACAGCGAATACTAAACATCCCCCTCCCCCTGCCTGCTTCACCGCTGAGCTGGTGAGACACTCCAGTAAGCCTGGAGCCCCTTCATTCCTTTACCGGCCGGTTCATCACTGGCTTTTCAACTACTGCAAACATCATAAATAGCGTTAAAGGGCCAAGGTCAAGGTAATATAATTGGAACTCTTCACCTGTGCTAATAACTTCCTTTTGCAATAGAGTCTACAGGTCCCAGTTGTGGTTGGGGCAATCTTGTGCAAGGAGCTGTTCAAACTCACTGGAAGACATGGCTCTTGTCCCCAAAACCTTACATAAAACACTTTAAATCATAAAGCTAGGGGGAGAAATTAAGGTTCATATTTGGAATACAGGACTCCTGGGTTCTTTTCCCAGCTTCGTCACTGACTCTCTCTGTGCCCTTGGCGAAGTCACTTGAAACTTTCTTTGTTTTCCCCATCTGTAAAATGGGGATGTGACAACTTACACTATAACCTAGTCTACACTAGAAAAAGTGAGCTGGCATAGCTATACTGGCAGCCCCCCAGTGGATGCAGCTTATGCAGGTTTATACCAGTTCCCTGAACAAAATAACTGAGACCAGTAAAAGCACTTTCCCCTCCTGCTATAGCTACATATACGCTAGGGCTTTGGCCAGGATAAAAATAATTGCTCCTCTAACCAGTATTTTTATACTGCAAAAGTTTTAAGTGTAAACCTGGCCTCAGTGAGGTGCTGTGTTTAGAAAGTGCTTTGAAGTTCAGAACGGCTATATAACACGTAATTGATGCTCTGAAATCTAACTGATTACTGCTTGCATTTCCCTGAGCTTTCATTGAAATTCGCTAGGTCAGTTTCCCATTCTGTCTCAAGGCTGCTTTGTTTGGGTTCGCAGCGAATTATTACACTTTTTAAAAAGCGTTAATTTAAATAAGAGAAATCCCTTGTAAATATTTCCATAATAGTTTTTGTTAAAATCCTTTAACGCAAACCTTGGCTGGCGAGCCTGAATCTACTTGACAGTGTCTTTAACTATGTGATTTTTGAGCCCATGACTAAGGCCTAGTCTTCACTTACCGCCATCGATGTTCTGGGATCGGTTTATCGCGTCTGGTTAAGACGCGATAAATC